TGAATAGATCCTCCGGGAAACTGAACGGCGAAGAATCAGGGATGAAAAGGATGCTTTCAGTCTTTCCTGAAGCGTCAACTTTCCGTGCGAGGATTTCGTTTCCATTAAACCCGGGCTAATCGCCTTGGCCGATTCAATGCTTAATGAATCGCTGCGGAAAACTGCTTCATCCCGATTCTGGCTAGCAATTATTTTTCGGCTGTAGAAAAAGGAGCTCGAACGAGGACGTTCATTATCAGATGAATTGGAACGCTTCGGCTTTGTGCCGCGTCCGTGTGTCGAGAGGCCATCAGGAGATAATAAACAATTTCGACCGACTGTTTATTTTAACGAGCACGGAGTAATTGTTTTAATTGATGCACGGAATAATAAGTTCGATTTTCTGTTGGGCTGCAAACGGAGCCCCGAAAGCGGGAAATTATCGAGCGACTTGTGAAGTAAAGCAGATTGCTACGTAAAACGACTGAAGGCTACAAAGCCCCCGAGATTGAATTTTACTGCAGTAGCTGAAGATCTCGCAGGATACGTTGAACACGAATAGTCAAGAATTTCTGTCGCAAGAAACATCCAAAGTAGGAAAATCACCGTACAGTGATGGAGGAAATGTGTTTTGACTCGAGAGGAACCTTGGATCTAGATGTACATATGCTCCTCGGAGCCAGCATTTTCTTTCGTTTCTTTTTGCTACGACTTTGTCTCAACGTTAACCCGTTTCTGACCTACTTATCGGCTTTCAACTTATTTCACTGCAGCACGGGACTTGCGACTTCTTCTGCCGTGGACGTTTCCTGGTCCTCTCTCATTTTTTCCCTCCTTGTGTTTCTCCTCGTCCACGAGCTGTACAAGTTTTTCTCGCTGTTATTTTTTGCGAGAGCCTCTTCGCATCGCTGAAACGAAAAACGGGTCGATCCGCGAAAACGTCTTCCGGTGAAATTTCTAGCGAAATGGTGATTGCCTCGGATCTGGAGTAAGCGATTGATCGAGGGAATAAAACCGAACGAAGATGCCCGTTAGGTAAAGGACAACTTTCGGTAACGAGTGCTCTTTCGAGAACGAAGCAGATTGAAGTCTCGAAAGTGGTGCTTAACTTAAAGTTGCCTCGAGGAATAGATTCTCTGGTGACGCAATTGGCGTCGAGTAAAGTCATTTCTTCCTGCATCATAAATCTTCGGAAGCAAGATTACACGTTCGAAATTGCGGAGAATGTCTTTGCGAATTCGAGAATTTCTTTAAAATGCAAAGGCGGGGCTACAAATAAAATAGTAGCGAGACAACGAAATATCTACCGCGGGTTCTTTAACCCGTGTCGTACATTGTGACCGGTTGTTCCGTACGAAACAACACCGTGGGACATACGTCGACGAAATCGCAGGCAAACACACGAGACACTAAAACGCCGGTTTCAAAGCATACGTCAACGCGAGAGAGCAAAGCAGCATCCGCTTTGCATATGCCAGGCGTTTCAAAGAGGCGCACACAGGGAAGGCGTCGAAAAGGAAGAAACCGGAGACGTATTAACGGTCGGAAAAGGGAAAGCCCCTAGCGTAGCGGGTGAATCGTCACAGAGGAACAGAACGAAAACACAGGAGGGTTTCTTTAACCGCCAGGCGAAACCGTTATTAAGATTACTGGCGGCGCGCATGAGTAATGACATCCTCCTTTGCTTCCAACCAGCGCTACCCTGATAAATTACCTCCTCCGCTAATTACTTGGGTCTCGGCATTTCGCTAACGCGCATTTCACGTCCTAGTTATTCGAGGATGGCGCGAAACTGGCAGAGATCGAGCGTTCACCGCGCTACGAAAGCTAAACACGACCGAGTTAAGTGTTTATACGTTTGAGTATTCTGTTTTGGCACAAGCTGTCAACCTTCCTGACTGAGCGTCAGAAAGGTGACAGGCGACAGAACTGGATACTTGTTATGCATTCTAGGATATTACCGGTCCTTTCGTAGGCGCAAGCTCAGCGTCGAGATCGACACTCGTACCTGTGAAAGTAAGAGTTTGCTCAACCACTGTGGACATTGAGTTAGCAAAAGGCTTCACAATAAATCTCGCAGATGTATAGAGGATAATGGATTTATTGTGAGGTCTTCTGTAAAGGTTCCGAAACCTGCAATTCGTAAGGAGTGACGTGATAACAGTGATTTAGCAGTGTCATAGTGAATGTACGAATGTAGGGATAAGGGGATCTCCGCTATAAGTAATGTCATGGAGAGGTGACAGTGATGTGGCGGTATAGTGAATGAAGCACCCAACTAATACAGAGGGGTTCCCGGAAACAAATGTAGTGATGGGTCTAAACCGTAGAAATATAGAAGGAGAGTGCCATGGTGAACGGGTGACCTACAAATAGGATAATGGGACCTATCCCAACTAATACAGAGGGCTATCTTCTCAGAAACAAATGTAGTGATGGGTCTAAACCCTACAAATATGGAAGGAGAGTGCCATGGTGAACGAGTGACCTGCAAATAGGATAAGGGGCCTATCCTAACTAATACAGAGGGGTATCTTCTTGGAAACAAATGTAGTGATGGGTCTAAACCTTACAAATATGGAAGGAGAGTGCTATGGTGAACGGGTGGCCTACAAATAGGATAATGGGACCTATCCCAACTAATACAGAGGGGTATCTTCTCGGAAACAAATGTAGTGATGGGTCTAAACCATAGAAATATGGAAGGAGAGTGCCATGGTGAACGGGTGGCCTACAAATGGATAATGGAACTTATTACTGGGTCCTATCCCTACTAATACAGAGGGGTATGTTCTTGGAAACAAATGTAGTGATGGGTCTAAACCTTACGAATATAGAAGGAGAGTGCCATGGTGAACGGGTGACCTGCAAATAGGATAAGGGGCCTATCCCAACTAATACAGAGGGGTATCTTCTCAGAAACAAATGTAGTGATGGGTCTAAACCTTACAAATATGGAAGGAGAGTGCCATGGTGAACGAGGTGGCCTACAAATGGGATAATGGGACCTATCACTGTAAACAGTGTCACCAAGGCTGACACTGATGTGACATGGTACCTCATAAGCATTGTAAACACAGGGACGGCAACGCGTCAACACCATTAGATAATCGAAGGTCCTCGACATTAGATTCTTTTTTCAGAATAATTGAAGACTAATACATCCTCATGAACGTTTGAGCGAGTCGATTTTTGACGTCGCACAAGTGGTTTTTCCCCTGACGGTGCACAGTTCTGTTTGTTTAACGAAGCGCAAGCTAATTTTGCAGCCGCGTTTACAATGGCGGTGTTCAACAGAGCGAAGGTAAAGCGTGAGAAGTGCAGCAAACGGGAGATTAAATTGGAGGGAGATGGAAAAAGCGAGAGGGAGAAAATTGAAAAATTCTTCGGTACATCCGAAAAATTTATTTCGTTTTGATTCCCTGTCACCATTTTCCCGTTTAATCTCGGCCTGCCAGGGCTAATATATTTCCTCGGCATCGGCGCCTGTAACGTTCCACTCGGGCGTTACATAAATTGTGGAACTCTAATGTCCTCTCGAGCTAAAGAGGCGATGAAAGTTGAAGAGCCCTCACGAGTGGCCTGTATATACCTCGCTTTTATAACCTCAACACGGGAACATATATCGAGAAATTTCGTGATAAACTTGAAGGAAGACCTCGCAGAAAAGGCTAGACTATATGGAACCGGGAAAATTACGGTCTTCCCGCGCCAACATAATAATATCGTAATTACATCCTGAATAGTTCAGGAGACCCGATGAAATTTCTACCCTTTTCGACTCTCTACTTTTTGACTTAACCCGAAATACTTTCTCGACCGCGGCAATAAGGACGGCAAAGACAGAAATGGAAAAGACCTCTTCTAATATCTCCGACTTTTATTCGACTGAAAGAAGTGCTTTTTAAAAGCTCGTCTTTGACAGTATCGACTCTTTAATGGCGATGCTTTTTGCACCGACGTCGCCAGACTCCACGAAACCCGCAGGAAAAGTTCACGTTATTTTCGATCCTATCGAGAAGCTCGATAAATCGGTACATCGTCTACTACTAGGAAAAATTAAAGAATGTTGTAATACAAAATCGCTAAGAACGTTATCGGATTTTTGTAGTCCATTGTTCGCTTCGAAGACAAATAAACGACGCGGTCGTAGATCGATGGTTAACGACAGGAAGAAAAATGAATAAATTTTCTGCCGACACGTCGGCTAGGCTTTCGGTTCAAATAGCCGTTATTGGTCAATCATTCGTTGACGTTTCAGACAATTTTTCCCGTCGGCAGAGCGCGGTATAAGCGACTTTTATTACGAGTTTCCCACATCGTTTCAGATTTTTCATAATTGTTCATCGCGCCGCGAATGCGGTTAATTAAGTCTAAAAATACTACGGAGCTGTTTGCGCACCCGGAGGATGATACCTTTAATAAGCGAGGTAATCACGGCTCCGATGTGTTTGTTTTTAATTTTGTGGCGAGAGAAATATCCGCGCGAAAATATACTCGAATATTTAGTAACTTTTTCGCAATTACACCGAAATAGTAATTATCCGACGCGAGAAGGGCTTTCTCGACTTAATTTCTATCTCGCATCCGGCCATTGCAGGCCCGTGCACATCGATGCGCAGAGGCAACCATCGGTAAATTGAAAAAAGCTCGATCATTGGTTGAACCGGTCGAATAGTTCCCCACGGTGATTAAACGAAGCGTTCAGCCGGCTCGCGTTCGCTTTTCGAAGAAGAATCAATGATCTCTCGGCGCGAGACTGAATAATAGATTCGCACGGAGGTCGGTTTCCAGCCGGTGCTGATAAGGGGTCAGCAACGGGCCTGGGAAAAGAATCACGAGCCGCGTTATCGTTCTCGTTTGCCACCCCCACGTGACTTCTCGTGTTGTCTCGTGGAAATGTCAAGCTACGACGCCGGCTATAACATAATAATGCCCGACTATCGATTGGACACGTTACACGTGACGCGTACCCGTCGATGTCTACGAGTCGCACGTGACACGATAAAACCACTACCTACTTGAGTGAAGAAGTAGTAGTAGACCTTCATGCCACGATCCGCGAACAGTTGAGCAAAGTGTATCGATGGGCAGATGAAGAAATAGTCGCCCACAACGTCCGCGACCATCTTCTGGTACATGTAGCCATTGTTCGCCTGCTCCCAGTCGGTGTACTGTAACAGAAAACGTTTGCGGTCAGTGGAGATCGATATTCGAGAACTGTTCTTGGGTATTATAGCGGATAATGCCTCTTCCTTTACATCGCTTTTCTATCTCGAAGACTAGATATTTAAATCGGCGATATAACGAGTTGCGATCTATATCTAGATTGCTCATATCCACCCCTTTATCCATTAACTAGTTCCCGTATGAATTTCAGAGGTATAAATGCCCCGCACGTAACGAAGTTTATAACAAAAAATGAGAGATAGACAAAATTTCTCCGTACCTGTTGCGGAGTACGCGTTAGAGCGGCAAAAAGTGTAAGCGGAAGCGACAAGCTAATGGACCCGGTGATTATGTGGAGTCGCAGAAGCGATAGGAAAGTTTGTCGCACTGGGCGATAGTTAACTTTCGATTAATTAGCACCGGTGTTAATTAACAGCGGGGTTGATCGATGAATCCCTTGATTTTCCGGAGGAGCCAGCGTAAACGGTGTGGAAGTTTCTGAAGCGTTATCGAAACTGCATTGGGAAGCTATCGCGTCATTTAATGCCGGATTTATCATGCCGCGGTCGGACTTGGAAATTGACGGGGACTCGTATCGATCCGCGTTTTCGTGAATAATGGAATACCATTAATTGACGGACGCTGGTTTAAGGGGACAACCGGTGGAAGAAGAAACGCCGTGGAGAACAAGGGGTCGAAGTAGCGGAAAACTTTTCCGGAATAAAACTTGAAGAGTTCCTTAATGAATCGACGGTGAAACAGAAGTTCACCGTAGTTACTTCTGTAGCTAAGAATTTCTTTCGCCGCTATATTCCACGGAACGGAGTACGGTTCCGTGTAAACTTCCGCGGAAAAAAATTGCATACCGGATACCCCGTATATACCTATCAAAAATAGCCGGCTCGAATAAAATGAACGTGATTTAAGGACCCCGCTGACGTGTTCTAAATTACGTCCTCGGCGAACGGATTTCACGTGTTCTCCAATTAGCGGAAAATTTCGAGGAACACGAAGCAACTTTGATCGCTGAAAGATTACTTTGTGCCCCGCATAGTCTGGCAAGTTTAATGAAACGAAATTCGCGAGCCGAGAAACGCGTTTCCTTGGTCCTTGCGAAACGAGGACTAAAGAGCCTAGTCTCCTATGTAATTAGTTGTTTGCACACCGAGTTTCTGACTAATTTAACCATTTCCGCGGAGCGAGAAAAACCGCGATGTAGTGGATGCTGACATAGTTGAGCCACGAAACTACTACCGCGAGCTACTTCTAAGTACTTCGCTACACGGTAGCAAAATAGCTACGTTCGACTTCTCGCTATCGCCGCAAAAGAACAACGTTGCGGCGGTATAACGAGAGTCTACGGTTAGGTATTACTGCAGTTGGTCCTAGGCGTAATACCGTCTTTCTATCATTCCGCTATCTTCCCCTATCATTTTCCAAGAGATTACTGCAGCTCGCCCCGTCGTTAACGAAACCCACGAGTAGACCCAGCCGAACCTGACCGAAGCCGACGTCTCCGGTTTCCGCGCGCAGCCAGCATCGCGCTCGCGCGTTCCCGCACAGACAGCTCGGAATTAACGGTTTTGCCCGGGCACCGCGCAATATGATATCGTTGTGCGATCCGAGGAACCCCGGCTCCTCGGCTTTAATCAAACTTTTGCTTGATTATGCTCACGGCGAGACATCTAATCCGCGAAGCGTGACACGTTCTTGCCAGCTGTTCGTTTTTATCGCGGAACCCTCAAGCGCGCAGCTTGTTAACCTTTTCAAAATCTCGAGAGCACTGTCATGGAGGGTGAAATCGAATATTCTTCAGTGGAGAGCAACGAATGGCACGAACGAGTCGTAAACGTCGATGAAGATCCCATCAGCGTGGGTCGAGTGGCCGGAAGTAGTAGGTGTCATTTCAGCGAAAGGCTGGCGAAAGGTCATGACGAATCGAAACGACGCCTACTGTCAATCCGGTCGATCAATTCGCGAGGACCATCGTGGCTACCGGTTCTATAATTACGCGGAGCCGTTGTGCAACCGGTGTGCACGAGTTCGGCCCCGAAACCTTTCGGCCACTTTACGGCACCCGGGAGAAACGGACGAGACAGATGCTTAAATTTGCAACGGTGTTCACAATGTGTTGCCATAAAAGGTTCTCGGACCCTTTAAGCAACGGAATTTATGGAGGTAGCCAGAAAATTCAAGGGCGTGAAATATCACGCGTGTTCACGGGGTAAGCGAGGGTGGCAAACGCGTTCATATTTAATGCCGGTGGAGGGTGAAAGTACCCACACGCGCGTCGGACTACGTCTTCTTTAAAACCGAGAGAATCCAATTTCCTTCGCCGTTCGAGAACTATTTTCTTAATACGCGATCATTCGGGTAATGCCGACGCTTGGCCCAACTCCGAAACTCTCGTTGTTTGGCATGTCTCTTCTCAAAGTTACGGCCACTAATTTTACGAGGATATTAAGGAAAGTTTATTCGATGCGGCCGCGTGACCCGGTTTCTTGTCACCGATCACCGTGCACGGATAATCTGATTCTCGATCAGGCCTATAATTACACGTGACAGGCAATTTTCATGCGTTCAGCCGATTTTAAGTGCCGTAAGCCGTGCTTTAAACTCGGCTCGCTTATCGACCAAATATCTCGGCCCGCCTCTGATCCTCGTTTCACCATTTTGCAATTTGTCCTGTCAACTACCATGATCTATCAAATCATTTTTCATACTTATCAAATGTACCAGCTGGGCGTAGTTTATGCGCGAACCCACCGTGACGCAGTTGTGCGTTAAGCACTAACCTGGTGCTAGGTTAAGCCGAGCTAGGTATCAATTAGTAGGGACTAGGGCTTGGATTAAACCTGCATTACGCTTCGTCGGTGTTGGACGCCATTGATTTTCGCTCTCAGCGAACTTTCGGGAGCGAGTCTTTGGCAACATGGATTTTGTGGGGGATTAGGTTGGGGTCAAGGAGTTCCAGAATGATGCGTGTTTAAATTTCGCTCGTTATATTGCCGTGCGTTGAAATTACTGCGCTTCGTAACTCCACGTGTCGTAACTTCACGCGTTGTAACTCCACGCGCTGTATTGTTACATGCTGGAATCACCACGCGTTGGAATTACTGCGCTTCGTAACT